AGCACCATGACAGGCTCCAAGTAGTACATGTTCTAAAACCCACAAGTCAGAAAATGGAATGGCTAGGTTCAATTCAGATCTCCCACCCTCTTTTCCCTTATTTGACTTTATTATTTTGAAAAGAAATGATAAATACTCATTTTTTTCAGCCTGTTTTGTATCTGGAAGGCCACACATGACAGATCTAGATGGTGATATCAGCAGAAGAATGCTAGGAAGGCAGACTTCTAGGAAAGGGACAGAAGTTGCCAGTTTGTCAGTGCTCCCCTTTTCCTTTATTTTCTTATTTTGAGTAGGATGTGATTTCTGGACAAGCTACAGAAATACAGGACAAGTTATATTGTGGCTATGAGGTAATAAACAAGAGAAACATTCTAATCCAGGCATGGTGGCACATGCTGTAGTCTCAGCATTTGGGAAGAGAGAGGGAGAGGGAGAGAGAGAGAAAGAATTATGAGAATATCCTAAAAAACGGCAGAACAGAAAGTAATAAAAAAAAAAGTCTTTGACATAGGTGAGCTCCTATACCAGCTCTAAACTACCTGTGGAGTTCCTTTTTTTGATGTACTAGGATTTGAACTCAGGGTCTCACACTTACTAGGCAGCACTCTACCACTTGAGCACTCTGTTGCTGTGTGTGTGTGTGTGTGTGTGTGTGTGTGTGTGTGTGTGTGTGTGTGTGTGTGTGTGTGTGTGTGTGTTTTAGGTATTTTTGAGCTAGGATCTCGGAAACTATTTGCCCAGGCTAGCTTGAACCATGATCTTCCTGATGTCTGCCTTCCTAGTAGCTAGGATATTAGGTGTGAGCGTGAGCCACTGGCGCCTGGATCTGGGACTTCTTAATGTAAGGGAAAGACCTCATTTATTTAAACTACCATAAGCAAGATTTTTCTATTACTCATAATCAGACATATTCCTAACTGAACCAGAAACCTTCCAAATATGTTTTTGGAGCTATTTGGGAAGCTCTTTCCAGAAAGATCGCTATGGTTCTACAATGTAGTCCTGGAAAGCAAACACATGTCTAAAAATGAAGCCAAACACAGGAAAACAGACCAGAGGATAGTCAAATTCCTGTCACAGGACATCATCTTAACAATCTGAATTCCAACAGGGTCTGAAGTCAACTGACTTTTTAGCTTTATGAGCCTGTAAGTCCCCTTTTGTGCTTAAGCCAACTTGAATCAAGTTTTACTGGAACGGATCCTGACTAACATCCCACACAGAAGTATGAGTGTTAACCAGTCAACACAAGTAAATTAATTTGAGGCAGTAACCTGTGGCTTTAAGAAGAGAGTCAATTAGGTTCTTGCCCACCCCCCCATATAATTACTGATTTTTTTTTTTTTTTGTGGGACTGGGATTTAAACTCTGGACTTTGTACTTGTAAAGCAGATGCTCTACTGCTTGAGCCATGCCTCCAGTCTATTTTGCTTTGGTTGTTTTGGGTCTTGTGAACTATTTGCCTGGGCTGGCCTCAAACCATGATCCTACAGGACACTACTGTTTTTTGGTTAGACTGGAATTTGAAATTAGGGCTTCACACTTGCAAAGCAGGTGCTCTACCACTTGAGCCACACCTCTAGTCCATAGTGATCCTCCAGATCTCAGTCTCCAAGTAGAGGAGGATTACAGGCATGAGCCACTATACCTGGCTTATTTATTTTTTTAACAGGATCTCATGATGTAGTCCAGGTTGGTCTTGACCTCTTGCGCTTTCTGCCTCAGCCTCGAGCATTTTGGGATTAGAGGAGTGTGTCACCATACTGGGCTATAATGTGTGTATATTTAAACAAAGGCTTTCCTATTACTTTAGTGTTAACTTTAATGACAATACTCTATGTTCTCCTTGCATGCATTCTTATTATTTTAATAATTTAAAAATTTCACGATATATGAAATAAGGATCAAAGGGCACTTTGTGTCTAAGGTCACAAATTAAGTTACTATTAGGGCCAGGATTCATACTTAACCTATCTGAAACTATTGTGCAATTCCTAAGGTACCTGTTCAACCTGCTGTGCAATGTGGTGGTGAGCCTGATATGCCACTGTATCCTGCACTTTATAATCACTATAGTCAGAGAAATGTAAACTGACTATAAACTTTGTGTAGAACCTTGAGCTAAGTAAGTGCAATGCGTTTTGTGGAACAGTCATGATGTAAAAAACTGTAAGCTACATAGTATGTCCTAGAGACCAAATTAATCTGAACAGATTGAAAAAGTTGAAAAAAATATCCATACCTGGTAAGGTGTCTACATACCAGATATGCCTGTGTGGGGGGAGTGTCTTCCAGACTCAGCTGTAAAAACTAAAGGCATGAATAGAAATACCTTTAAGCAGCTGCTAACAGGTTATCAAAAGGCATATAGGATATGCATCATGGGGGGACAGTAGGAAGGGAAAGGTAAAACGCTTCAGGAGCCTGTTAACTTTTCTTGAGTGCAGTGATGGTGTAGAGATCAATTAGCAAATGTAGATCAAAAACAATTTTCATAACAGGGGAAAAAGGGAACTAGGCAATATGCTAAGTTCATTTACATTCAATTATGTGTGGTAGGTACAGTATAGACTATGCAAATTTACCTGCCTAAGGAGACATTGCCAGCACTGGTTAAAAGTCATCAAAAGATAAGACTTTCCAGTCTGTGTAAAGTGTATCTAATCTGTAAGAGGCAACAGTCTATTACTTTTCACTCTATAAGTTTTCTCTTCAAAATGAAATATTCTGATATTACAACTAGTCAAGGCTATCAGTAATTTTTATTATGGTGCTACCTTAAAGCCATCAGGAAACTTAGTGATAAACAAAATGTTAAGATTCAGTACTATTAAAAAATGTGTAAGATGTAAATGTCTGTTAAGACATTTTAATCTATTTAATTAAAGAAAAATGGAACTTTAAGTTTTCCTTTCCTCTCTTTTTTATTTTAGAAAATAATGTGACCTATTCACAATTTTTATTTAATTAAAAGCTCTAGTTTTTTTTTGTTTGTTTGTTTTGGTGATACTCGGTTTTGAACTCAGGGCTTCACGCTTGCTCAGCAGACACTCTACTACTTGAGCCACTCAGTCGGTCCTTGTTTGGTTTGTTTTTGAGCCAGGGTCTCTCTATTGTAGCTCAGACTGTCCTCAAATCCATAATCCTTCTGCTTCAATCTCTATGCTGGAATTACATCTATGTACCGTACCTACCAGTCTATCTGAAAGCTCTAGGTTTTACAACTGTCAGATCTAAAAATTTCTAAGAGAAGCTGGGCACCGGTGGCTCACACCTATAATCCTAGCTACTCGGGAGGCAGAGATCAGGAGGATTGGGGTTTGAAGCCAGCCCAGGCAAATAGCTCATAAGACCCTATCTCAAAAAAACCCTTCACAAAAAAAGGGCTGGTGGACTGGCTCAATGTGTAGGCCCTGAGTTCAAACCCCCGAACTGCAAAAAAAAAAAAAAAAAAATTCTAAGAGGTTAAAAAAAAAGGACTCATTTGCCAGGAATGCACAAAGAAGTATACAGTGACTTCTCATGCAGTAAGATATTTTCAAACCGTTCTAGACACAGGTGGGAAACTTCTCAGAAAGGGTTGCTCTCTAGGCTGCTATTTAGCAACACTTTGACACAAAGGATTAATTAGCTGGTAACCATTTAACAATTGATGAAACTTCTCTAGAGATGGAAGTGTGGCATGAGGGTGTCTAATCTTTACCTCACTTCATTATTGATTATATCTAGCCAGGTAAGATTTACTAACCTGATGAGGCCAGTAAAAGAGGAAAATTATTTTGCTCCTTTCAAGGATAACAGTTACTATAAGGTACTGACAAAGTAGGTGAGTGGTCCTGATGCTGGCCAATAAATATAGCATAATGGACCTTGTTAGTTCTTTCTACAATATACAGTCTTCCTATAAGTTACGACTTACTGCATTCTTCTCAGGGTATTAGGGCCTTAAGTTGTTTTATAGTTGAGAAGATGCAACCGTCAGGAGGCTCTTTAAAAAACAAGCATGCATCTCTATTTACTAGCCTGGGCTGGTCTTAGAGGAGAACATACTTTGCACTTCATTGAGCTACACTAGAATTGTAAAGAGGAAACTACAAAGGAAGACTAGGCCTTGACCAAAGGTCTGGCTGACAATTTGAGAGGAGGAATGTCAAACTCAGTCTGTCATTTGGCATCATTAGCCAGATCATCTAAGTGCCTGATTTAAAAGAAACCAAAGCAAAACCCAAGAAAACTATTGTCTGCTTATCCTGTTCAAGCCTTATCTGTTCTGTTTCAGTTAGCTGTTCCCTTACTCACTCTTCACATCATTAAGCTGTCCTCTCCAAAGAGGATTAGAAAAGTACTTATTCAAAAATGCTAGTAAATAGGGCTGGTCAAGTGGCTCAAGTAATTGAGTGTTTGCCTAGCAAGTGTGAGGCCTTGAGTTTAACCCTCCATTAGTGGCGTGGGGGCATGGGGTGGGGGAAGCTACTAAAGCAAGAGAGTGGAGATAAAAACCACCTTTTCTCAGCAGTGACTTGGCTGGTTGCAAGTAATATTAATCAGTATAAATCTGGCAATGTATCTCCATATGTCTTTTCCAACAACATTGTGTTAGTGGCAAGAATGCAACAGCAACAGCTTCATGCTTCTCACTGAAAGAAGAGATAGGATGTATTGTGGCCCAGTATTTGGAAAGGACATCTTGATATACACAGAACTGGGTCAAAGCTTCATCCCCAATACGATTTCCTATACATCAATAAACTAGAAACACAAAGTCAGGGGTTTTTTAGTAGTAAAAGTGCTATGAAAATCTGCATTTTCTCCTATGGTTATTGAGAATGATCATATTTTATTTGGTTTGGCAAAGTTTGAAAATTTTTAAATTTAGGGCCATAGTATTAAAAAACATTCTACAAGTGCTATCTCTGTTTAAAAAGTCTGAATACATTATTCTTTTGGAAGAGAAACCCTCCCAAATAGAGTTAGTAGATACAGCTCCGACTCCTTACCTGTTTATGAGGACCCCTGAGTATGTGTGCCTTAGCGCCTTCACAAGCTGTCCTCATTGCTTCCAGTGATGGTGTGCCCAACAGATCTGTGATCAAATCCAACTACGAAGAAACATAAAACACATTTCATGGAAATAAACTTTTATTACTCTTAAATCACAGCCTTAGCAACAAAAAAATCTGTGGAAAAACCTTTAAGTAAGCTGTAGATTGACTGACAAGAGCTGCTATCTTTACTTTCTGATCCACTAAATAAAAAACCAACAGTACCCCTGCACACTTATAATTCCCAGCACTCATGAGACTGAGGCAGGAGGATGGTGAGTCTGAGACCAGCCTGGGCATAGCAAGACCCTGTTTCAAAAAAAACAAAACCTGGGCCAGAAATATAGCTCAAGTGGTACAGTACTTGCCCTGGGTTCAATCGCCAGTACCACAAAAACACAAAAAACAAAAACCAACCCCAAAGGTATTAAGAATCCACATGACAAAAATAAAGAAAACGTGTTTTGGCAAGCATGGCATTCTAAGGCTGGAGTGATTCAACATCTGGATCTGCACGCCCCACTGTCTTCAAACCATAGGTAGCATCTAAGATTCCTGAAGAGCTGAACTGCTATTCTGATGGTGACTAATGACTGTTCGTTTCAAACAGTTAAGGCATGGATTTTAATGTCTGAGATGGGCTGAAGCTCATTAAGGAGCTAATCCACAAATCAAATACATGTGATTTAGTATTCAAAGTATTCAAAACAGTCATACCTGAAATGATAGCTAAGCTCTTAAATGTTTGGGCCACACACCCTTTACATTCTAGTCATGCTAGAAATCGCTTACTCTGTCAAAAAAAAAAAAAAAAAGAAAAAGAAAAACTATGGTATTCAGAAAACTATGAGGCTAGCCAAATGTCTTAAATGTAGACCGATTGTCTAGAAAACTGTAACAGCAAATAAAGTAACATTTAGCTAGCTGGGCACAATAAAAGAGACCAGTAAGATGTTCTTCTCACAAGTCTTGGTAGGTAGAAAACTACCTTACCAATTTTCTGTGGTGCTACAATTGTTCTAACTTCATAAGCTAATTAACAATAACATTTGGATCCCTACTTGATTGGAAATTCATATCCAGAGAACACTATTTTCTGCACTTACCTAAACCATGGGGTAGCCATTAGCATCACTGGCATCCAGGATAATGGAGATACTTGACTTTCCATACAACTAAAGATCTTTATATATAGCTTTCTGAGAATAATGTGGGGGTGACACCTTTTGGTCTCTAACGACTACACTAAAGGAAGAACTAAATGACGGCTTATGGAAACACTCAAAGAGTTATCTGAAATGGGTCAGATCTATAGATGAGAACCATGTTTATGAAGTCTGTTGATAGTGGTTAGGGTACTTATTTCTCAAAGGTACAGAGAAAATGCAATAGAAAAGAAATACTTCCATCTAGAAGTTAGACTCCCTTTCTATTTTACATCTTGATTTCTTACCCCAAAACACAATAGTATGAGTTGTTTTCCAGCAGCTATCTCAGACTGGTTCATTTTCCTTTACATATTCTTTTTAGCATCAACCCAAGATTCTTGTTCAACACTTAGGATTGGAATACCTATTTACTGTTATTGTTACAGTTTTTGCTTAACTTTTTTTGCTTATAAGGTACGAGTCACATTCATTTTTATGACAGCTTATGTTTAGATATGATAGTCTTATAGGTAAGTCCGTTAAACTATGCTTTTCTTATTTTTGGTGGGGCTATGCACTTGCAAAGCAGGTGCTCCACCAGTGCCTGAGTCATGCCTCAAGTCCCTAAGCTCTATTTTCTAAAGAAATTGGAAGCAAAATGGACATCATCAATTATATCCAACATTAGATAATATATTATAAATGCCTGACAATTTTTTATGACTAGAATAAATTTTTAAGATGTAAAACTAAAAAAAAAAAAAAAGAAGGCTTTGAGGAACTAGAGGAATACATTTAATGTTGACCATAGCATGTATTATTTTCTAACATAATAGTGAACAAACAGTTCTTTGTAGGAAGAGAATAGAAGAAATGACTGCCTCTGGTCAAATGCATTACTTACAAAGATACACAGTAGTCAGTGTGGTATTTTAAAATGTAATCCAACAAATCCTTTTGTTTTATTTTGTTTTGAGATAAGGTCTCAGTATGTAGCCCAGGCTGGCCTTGAACTCTCACTATTTTGCCCAGGCTGGCCTTAAACTCGAGATCTTCCTGCCTTAACATAACGTAAGCACTTAATGTAAGTGCTTGCGTTATAGTCATGCACCACCACACCTGGATTTGATACATCAAATGTTAATATTCCCTTGCTCAAAATGCTTTGCATCACACTTAGAATAAAATCCAAAGTCCTTATCAGGTCACCACAGGCATGCTTTTGTCTTTCCCGCTGATGTCATCTCCTGCAGGGTGTCCCTTGATAATGCATCCTCCAACATGCTACCACTTGTTCTTGCCTCAGAGACTATTATGATCTTCCTCGAACATTCTTCTGCAGCATTCTACTCTCTCATTTCATGTGGGTGAGATGTTATTTTCTGAGAGAATCTTTTATCGCTGCCCTTTACCCACATCCTCTATCCCTAAACTGGTATAATTTTTCTTCATAGAATTTATCATTACTTGGGATTATATTTGTTGTATACTTATGTTTCATGTTAAAGTTTCACAAAGGTAGGATTAACTGTTTTACTTACTGCTGTATCTGCAGTATCCTTGCATACAACTCCATCCTCATTGCTAACATTTACTGAGAGCTTATTATGTGACAAGCCTTATTTTCAGCTTTACTACTTTACTCTGCAGTTTTAGAGATTCCCTTCCCTCTCCCCCAAAAAGAAACAAAAGGAGGATCAGAGAGGTTAAGTAAATCACCCAAGATATAATGTAAATGATAAGTGGCAGAGCTCGCTTGTGTGCGCTCGCTCTCTCTCTCTATATAAATATGTATGTATGTTTTTTTTTTTTCTTGCTATCTTCCTGCTTCAGGTTCTGAATTACAGATATGTGCTACCACACCTGGTCAGAGCTAGGTTTTGAACCCACCAATCTGATATCTCAGTCTATGCTCACTGTGGTTACATTATTTTCATGCAAACAATATGGTCAAAATTTATCTAGAAAAAATACTTCTATTTTCATATTCCAAGACAATGTTGCTTTAACAAATTAGCATAAAGATAAAGTAATATGAATTTCTACCATTGAGACATGCCCCTTCCTTCCTTTTTCTCTCCCTCCCTTTTTTCTTTGGCAGCACTGGGGTTTGAACTCAGGGCTTGTGTTTACTAGGCTTTACCACTTGAACCATGCCCTCAGCCCTTTTTGCTTTTAGTTATTCAAGTATGGTCTGGAATTTCTGGCCTGGGATGGACTGTGATCCTTTTACTTATGTCTCCCCTTAGCTGGAATCACAGGCATGTACCACTACACCCAGTTTTTCTGCTGAGATGGGGGTTTTACTAACTTTTTTCTTAGGCTGGCTTTGAACCACAATCCTCCCAATCTCTGCCTTCCAACTAGCTGAGATTACAGGTGTGAGTCACTGTGGCAGCCTCCTTTGTTTTTGAGATCTCACTAGCCAGGTTGACCTCAAATCGTCAATACTCCTGTATCAGCCTCCCAGGTGGTGGGATCAGAAGCATGTACCACCACACCTGGCTGAAGAGTTCTAGTTGTTTTTTTTTTTTTTCAGTGCGATGGAGTTTGAACTCAGGTCTTTGTTTTTTGCAAAGCAGGTACTCTACCAGTTGAGCTACACCTCTAGTCCTTTTTGCTCTGGTTATTTTGGACATAGGGTTCTTGCAAAGTATTTGCCCAGGCTGGCCTCAAATCAATATCCTCTCAATCTCAGTCTCCAAGTAGCTAGGATTAAAGGTGTGAGTCACCAGCACCCAGCCTGAAGTCCTTCTTGAAGCTATATTATTATTATCTTAAATAATAAAGATTTAATTTTTTCCCAGATGCTCAGATTTAAAGAACTCAACAATAAAAATTTATATTCTAAACACAAAGCATAAGTATATTAAGTCATCAAATATATTTTCAAGTCAAAGGCATCCAGTCAGAAAGAACAGAAGCTGTCTAACAACTGGAGATTATACCTGTGCAAATTGTAACAGCAGAGTCTGGTGCCATGCACCAGTGCATGTAATAGGCTCTTAAGTTACAAAATGAATCTCTGTAATCTTCAACCTTATAACTTTGTGAATTTCAACCAAACCTGAATTTGCTAAAAGCAAATTAGGCAGTACAATGAATACACACAAGACATGTGCAAGATGGCTTTTTCCTTCAAATCTGTAGTAGAATTGAAAGCTACTAAAGTCTTAAAGTGAAATTATACCTGCTGAATGGGACTCTGTGCCTGAAACAATATTCTTCGTCCTAGTAGTTCTGCAAAGATACATCCGACAGACCAGATGTCAATAGCATTGCTGTAATGACGGCTGCCCATCAGGATTTCCGGAGCCCGATAATACTGAGTAACAACTTCCTGAGTCATATGCCGGGATTCATCTAATTCTTCCACTCGGGCCAATCCAAAATCACAAATCTATATAGAAAAGACAATCAGAACATTACCAAGAGGACATATATATATTTACACATGGAAGAACAAAAAACAAACAAAATAAAACAACAAAAACCAAAGAAAACAAAAAACCTTGATAAGACTACCTGAACTTCATAAAGTCTTTTTTTTGTTTATTTTTTGTGGTACTGGGGTTTGAACTCAGGGCCTTGTGCTTGCTAAGCGGGTGCTCTGCACTTGAGGCACATCTCCAACCCCACAGTTTATTTACACAAGTGGAATATATTTGTATCTATATATAATGGTCTTCTTTGGACAAGAGGGAAGAAAAATCTCAAACTCAACATTTCTATATAAAATGATGTATCTTAAAAATGTTCTTTTCATATTTAATTTGTTTTCAACTAATAAACAAAAACTCACCCTAAACCAAACACAGCTGAATGCATATTACTAGGTTTAATGTAGAAACCAAACTATCAATTTTTTTTTTTTTGGTGGTACTGAGGTTTGAACTGCTAGATAGGTGCTCTACCACTTGTGCCATACCCCCAGCCCCAAACTATCAATTTTTTTAAGATGGTATTATAGAAGGTATGGTAAAAGCAGTATACCCAATGTTTAGCACACTATGGAATATATGCATGGTACAAATTTGTTAAAGCTATGTTTTTCAAACTGAGACCTGTTGAATCTGGTTCTGATGAGGAACTACAGGAGTTCTATGAAAAATTCACCCAAACTTCACATCCATCTATTTAAAATAATAATTCACACTCAAAACATGTGCATATGTCAAAATACAGTATTCTATAGAATAATAATGCTACTAGGTTAATTCATCTCTTTATGCTATATTTAATTGAGCACCTGTTATGTTTCAGACTGTATGCTATAATCTGGAGACATAATAATAAGTAAGAAAGACTGTCTGGGTGTGCAGCTCAGTGGTAGAACATAAGTGTTCAGCATGTGTGAGGCACTGGGTTGAATTCTCAGTAACCCCTTTTACCCCCGCAAGAAAGATAAGACTGGTTAGTTTATACACAGACCAATAAATCTTTCTATTTCTATTTACCTGAGAAGTAGGTTCAGATTGCAAGTGGCTGTTACTAAACTATGGTAGGGCCATAGCTGCAGCACTACTTATCTCTAGGGATTACAGTTTTCTTGATACTGGACAACCAAAACACTGGGAACACCAGGGATGAGACCAGATGTAATGGCCATATAAGCTCCAGTGTGCCCCCAATTAACTTTACAAGTCAATATTAGAAGTCGTGAAATAACATTTGTAATCTGTTTTCTAAGTTGAGGTGCCAGAGTAAGAGTACCTGAAAAAGGATTCTAGCAAGGCTTTTTAAACTTTAAAAACTACTGCTCGAAAGGAAATGAAATTTATCCCCAAATTTTGGCAATCTTTCTTCTTAATTGAAATCTACTGTATCTGGTCACATCAGATGAATGCATGTGTGCCTGTGGAGATGAGTCAGTATGAAGCCAGTATTTTTAAAACTTAAGTATAAAGGGAAATTTCTAGACGACATTAGAAAATCATAACAAAAGCCCAAATTTATCACATCTTCCCAAAGGCTAATGTTCAAATGACAAAATATCTTAAATTATATTTTTTTAAACTATTACCTGGCCACGATTTTTTAAGATACTGATTAAAATCAAACCAAAGAACTTAAATTCTCACTTGCATTTATATTACTTACTTACTTACTTACTTAATTTATTTAGCAGTACTAGTGTTTGAATTTAGGGCCTTGCACTTGGTATTTATATTTTAGAAAAATATAAATATAAAAGTATAAAAATAGAAACACAATATATAAATACCAACCACCCAACAAAAAAAAAGTCTTCTGTTCTCCTTTCTTTTTTGGGATGGCAGTACGGGGGTTTGAATTCAGGGCTTTGGGCATGTTTGCAAGTGTTCTACCATTTGAAGCACACCCCCATCCCCTAAAAAATGTTAGAAAGCAAATCCTTTGTTAAAAACATCAGTCTGATCTGGAATTTGTTTTAGAAACTGGAAGATGGTTTGAGCCCAAAGTAAGAAACCTACAATGATCAAATAACTAAATAGATACTGAGATTTCTAGCAAATTATTCAACTTGTGCCTAAGAGGTAACGAAATGTATTCAAAATATGAATGGAGACTAATTTAAAGGAAATGTTTTGTCATAATTACCTGCAATGAATTTGTACCTTGAATACAGAATTAAGTGTCTGTAGCCTGGCACTCTGGTCAGGCTTTTGAAAAGCAGACCTATAAAATGAGTCACAGGAGCAGAGCAAAATTTCAATTTGTTCTGATCTGTGTTGTGTAGCTATAAATGACATTTTCCTTTAGTTACCCATTCATGTAGCCAGAGGTTACAACAGCATAATAGATGATTTGGAAAATGAACTTTAAGCAGTTAATGGCATCAGGCATGACATGATCTACACAAAATCCTTGGTGAAGTCTTCCAACCAAAAGCTCAAATGAGAAGAACTGGCTTAAATTTATCATAAGATTGATTTGGTATATAGAATAAAAAATTCCTGACTAGGTTTCTTAACTTAAAAAATTAAGATGGGTTATAGGTAGCAACCTCTCTTTAAAAAGTAAAAAGTGGCAGGAGGAAGAACTCAAAGACTTATAGAAGGAGTACCTTAACAGATTTGGGGGCAATTTCTCTGTAGAAACAAAAGAATAAAATATAGTATCAACTATTTTCAGGGAAAATATGAAAATGAGGTTTTTCTCTCACTAGAGTTTAAACAAGGTTAGGGCTTTTTCAAGACTATAATGAAGAAATGTTCATTCAAAACAATATAACCCACTGGCTTTTAAAGAGAAATGGCCTACAGCTCAAAGAAAGCATTTCAAATAAAAAATGAAATTTATCTATACATTTGGCTTTAATGCTTATTTAACTGCCAACAACCTAAGTAACAACAATAATCTTGATTACTTTTAAAGTAATAACATTAAAAAAAAAACAGTTCTTTTTCTTTCCAAATATATCAGTTGGAATTAATAATTACTGTAGACTGGAGCCACTCATGAAACATATGGAATTTTCACTTGCTTATGCAGAGATGATATGGCTTTAGGAAGGCTTTTATCTCTAATTTCTATGATGAGGAAAAATATGATGGACCTCTTACTACTCAGGAGGTCTGCCAACAGAGATCTGTATTAGAGCGGGGGGAAATGCACGTATGTGGATTTTGCAATTTGTGAGCCATTCTACAAGACAATAAGAAGTAGTACTAGCGAGAGAAGTAAAAGTGAAATGATGACTTGAGATTTTGGTACTATTAAATATAATTAATTCTGCAGAGGAATATTGAGGACTGGCCACTAAATATTGTGGAAATGCATTTGATAGGTGCACATATCCTTTTCTGGCCTAGCACTTCCACTTTTTTGGGGGGAGGGGGAACTGGGGTTTGAACTCAGGACTTTGTGCTGGCAAAGCAGACATTCTATTGCTTGAGCCACACCTCCAGTCCATTTTGCTCTGGTTAGTTTGGACAAGGGGGCTCAGAAGCTATTTGCATGGGCTGGCCTCGAACCACAATTCTTTCGATCTCAGCCTTCCAAGTAGGTAGGTTTACAGGCCTAAGTCACTTGCCTGGTTAGTACTTTCACTTTCAAATATGTTTCTGCTTCCCACTTTGCTCCCTCAACAGCATACTGAAATGCCAAGCTGGGCAAAAATGTAGACACTTCCTAAAAGCCATACTTCATTCTCATATAAACAGAAGCTAACTAGTCTAATATTTCTGATAAAACTTTAATAAGGGAACAATCTGAAAAGATGTCAGGTTCTCTATTCTTTGTAGTGACATTGTAATTCTATACAGTGTCTCCAAAATAGACAAAATATCATGTAGAAAACATGAGCTAGGACTACAATTTACTGTGATCATGACTAGTGATATTGCTACAGAAAACTCCAGTCTTTATTTTTTGGTAAAATAGTGAAAATAAATTGTTTCCAAGCCTATGTTGAGCCTGACAATCTGATTTTCCTCAGACCTTTAAATAAAGTGAAAAACTACCTTTAGAACACAGTTGCTGTTCACAAGGAGATTCCCTGGTTTAATGTCTCGATGTAAAATGCCAGCTGAATGGAGATATTTCAAACCTGAAATAACAAACAGATTTAATTGTACATATTTAATTCCTTTTACTTCACCAATAATTTGGTGAAAACCTAAGAGGGTAATATAGTAGATATTTCAAATTGTTCCTTAAATAACTGCATAATGACTATTACCAAAAGCCTGGTGTAGTCCCCTTCAAAAACTAGGAAGGCTATAATTTTGCTACATTAAAATAAAATGTCATGAGAGGTTTGCACATATCAGAAACAATGTCTATAATTCAAAAGATTACATAGCTTAAGCACAGATAAGCTTCTTAGGCACTGACCATACCAGTATCCTTGAACTCATTGTGGCTGCTTGAATTTTGCTATTGATATGCTCAATCTGTGACTGAACTGCTCCAATAAAAAAAGTTTCCATTAACCAACAGGGGAGCCTTTCCCAGGGCAGAGTTTTCACTGATATGACAAAATTCTGGAACTTGTCCAGGTTTTGTCAGTAGTATTCTCCACCACTGAGAATCAAGAGGGTAGTTAGTCACTTTTTAAATATTTTTGACATCTTAAACGATTGTCCTTTAGCACTAAAAGTCACAGCTTCAAGATTGAGTCTTTTTTGAATAAAATGTAGCAAACCATATTTTTCACAAGTGTTGTGTCACTAATCTTGCTTATTTCCCCCTACCACAGAATATTAGTAAATTTATTGGAGGTGAGCTTTCTAGTTTTACTATTGCTTATATGTTTTAATCCTTTTGGCAAATGCTTTTCAATTCTGTAAATAATTCCTTCATTTATGATTCTGTGAGAAAATGTATTTTACCAGATAGGAAAGCTGTTTCAAGCTTTAAATAATTCTCCATTTGTAGATTCTGAAGGACACACCTAATGACCAGAAGAGGCATCAATCATGATAGCCCAAATCTTTCTCAGTGAAGTCCAAGCTCTTTATGTGTCAGTCTGGAGTTTTCAGCTGGCTGCTTCTATTGGTCCCCATCCATTTGGCTTCAAGAGCCAGTCTGTTCCGATGTGACGCAGCTATACCAGCCAGTACTCTGACAAGCCCATTTAGTGTTGGCTAGCAGGATGGATGTTATCCATAGGGGACAGACTTATTTTTAATTTAGTCACCTGATGCCACATACTCTGTTAAGAACTATACCGCTGCAGCACTCTGTCAAGAACTAAATGCTATTTTCTGGATTTATGACAAACATTCTACTTATTTACCTTCCTATATTAATCTACTCAACTGCTTAATGAATTGCACAGGGCCTTCTCTTACATCATGAAAATAACAACTATTTGGTCACCTTATTGGCTGGAGATACAGCTCAGTAGTAGAGTACTTGCCTAACATGTACAAGGCTCTGGATTCAATCTCCAGAAACACATGCACACACACAAAACCTCTTATTTAATATGCAATACAAATAGTAATGAAATATATTTTGGTCTCAGAAGGTATTTAGATAAGAAAAAGCCTTGGAAGATCAGATTAAAGTTCAAATGAAAAGCAAACAACTTCACATATACCATGACATTGCCTTTTTCATAAAGAAAAATCTTACCTCGCAAAATCTGATAAAGAAAAACTTTGACATGATCTGAGCTGAGTGGTTGAGGAGAGACGATAATTTTATGTAGGTCACTCTGCATCAATTCTGTGACAACATATCTTGAGGTTTTAAGTTAAGGAGAGTTCAGAGAATTCAGCCCCCCCAGACCCCTCAAAGTAGTTATCATATCTAAGGAAATCTTCCATTCTCAAAGCTGGAAAAGTTTAAGGAAATAAAGCTTCTAGAAGGCATGATAGAAGTGAGAATTCCAGCCTTCACAAGATTAAACATGGCCAAAATTAAAAGAATTTACTTGCTTAAAAGCAGAAGCAAACAACCAAATGATTTTCTTATAATTAGCATTAACCAAAGGCAAGCATTTTAAATAACAGCCATACCAGGAAAAGTGTGAACAACAATCTCAAGGTCTACTCAGATATGTAACAAAAGGGGTCTGGTGATCCCATCCTAGGTCACCAGGAAAAAAGATCAGAACCCATCTTATCAACTATGACAAGTTATTTATAAAGTATGATACTCTCAAAACCTGTAAAATGGCTGGTTCAAATCCAAGTCTCTTCACAATATGAATTTAATTCTTTTATTATTTAACTCTGTATTAGTTTATAAAACCCTCTTCCCATGCTTTATACTCAGTTGCATTCTCAGGGTTTTGTTCAATCAACACATGGCAGACGATCAAAGGCTAGAGACTTGGGAAGCCTTGAGATGTGGAATTCAGAATTCTTGCAATGCACATGAATGTTACAGACATTGAGGAATCATCTTTTGCTATCTTTTATTTACTTATTGGTACTGGGGTTTGAACTCAGAGCCTACAACTTGAGATACTCCATCAGCCCTTTTTTTGTGATTTTTTTTTCAAGATGGGGTCTCTTAAACTATTTGCTCGGGCTGGCTTTGAACCTTGATCCTCTTGATCTCTGCTTCCTGAGTAGCTATGATTACAGGCATGAGCCACAGGTCCCTGGCATCTTTTGCTATTATCTACAATACAACAGATTCATGTCTTACCCTGCCTATAGTTCAAAATTTTATTTGGATGAATTTTATAATTTAACTATAATCTTTCTTAAACTAATTCCCAATTTCAAGTTTTTAGCAGAGTTGAGTTAGCAAAGGGAGAAGAATTAGTGATAGCATTTGACACCAGAGTCAAAAATTCCCTCATCCTTGAGACCTTTTTTCCAAATGTCGTTAGGATACCAAACTTCTCTTTCTCTGGTTGATTTTTCCATCACTGACCAATTTCTCTAAGTCTTCTTTCCTCTCTACCCACTTGTTGTTGAGATGCCTCAGGGATTGGTCCTTAGACTTCTTCTCTATCTATACTCACTCTCCTGGGTATTCAGATGCAATCCAATTCTTTTAAATAATGTCCAGGATGAAGTTCACACTACTAACCAGAAACCCTGAAGCCATCCTGATCTCTCTCCCCCCACCACCCATGAGAAAATCCTGTTGGTTTTAACCTTCAAATTTTATCTATGATTTAGCTCACTTCTTATCATGTCTACTGTTATCACTCTGGCCCAGATTTTTAAAATACAGCAGTCAGAATTTCTTTACTGTTTTACTTTTGTTTTGCCTATTAATTGACATTTAGTTCATCATATAAAAAACATAATGTTTAAGGTTTGTACTCTTAAATTTTTTTTTCCTTTGGTGGAACTGGGGTTTGAACTCAGGGCTTCGCACATGTGAAACAAGGTGCTCTACCGTTTGAACCACACCTCGAACCCCTTAAATATTTTAATCTTAGGTTTTATCATCCAGGTTCTACCCAAAGAAATATATTTTGCCTCATAATGAAAGTGAGAAAATGCAATTTGGGATGCAGAATTTTCAGTGACATGTTAGAATTAGTGTATACAATGAAATAAAATTATGGTATTATCAGAGTTACAATTAGCTTTTCTTAATGGTTTTTAATCCAACTTTTTCTTATAAGAATTTTTAAATATACAAAAATTTTGAAAGAATTAAATGGTGACCACCTATATACACACTCACCACCCAGATTCTATATTTAACATTTTGCAGGATTTGTTCTATCTCACATCTATGCATTGGTCTTTCCATTCATTAATTATCCATGTTTTGGGAGGCATTTCACAGAATGATCCTTTAGGATGAAGGCCAAATTGAGTTACTCTCTGCCAAAGTTTTCTATTTCATTTTCAGTGAAAGCTAGTCTTTCAAATGGCCTTGTAGGGTCATAAATGATCTTGCCTTCTTCTTTGTCTGACATCTTCTTCTATCACATTGCTCCTGACTATTCTTGGGTCAAGCTAGACACACCCCTAACCACAGGCCTTTGCTCTAACTGCTTCCTCTGCACGAACTGTACTTCCAACATCTACTTACCTAACTCTTTCACCTCCTTTGCATTTTTGCTCAAATCATCTTTCAAATGCTGCCTACTTTGAGCAATCTAATACTGTATCCTGCACAACTACACCTTTTCTTTTTCTTAGTACTTTCATTCTATATCTATATAATTTACTTATTATGTTTATTGTTTGTCTATATCCTCAACCCTGCTCCACAAAAGGCCAAGAGCTTCATCTGTTTTCTTCACAATGTAGCCCAAACTCTCAGAACTCTGCTTGCACTGAGTAAACTTCTAAAAAGACCTGTTAAATTAACTGATATATACTGAGCAACTACTAGGCATCAGGCACTATAAATATATCTCATCTAATTTTCATGGGAGCCTTACGACATAGGTCGTGGTATCTCCAATTTACAGATGAGGAAACTGAGGCCAACAGAAAGCAAATAACCTGCCTAATGTTACATAGTAGTGAAGCTTAGATTTGGCTATATCTAAAATTACTTCTATGGGTCTCTAAAATTTTGGGCTAATCTTTTGTTTTTTGAATAACATTTTTTAAAAACTGTAATAAAATAAACTAAGTGTTCATTATGTTATTTATAGAAGAATTATTATAGCTAGTAAATACAAAAGCAATGATACAATTGGGGGGGGGAATCACAATTTTGTTATCTTTGTGAAATCATGGATTCAGTGAGGCACCATCTATAGTTAGTAAAGCCACCTAAAAAAGATGAAGAGTCTGACATCATCTTGTCCACCACTTAATTTTAGCGTCACTTAATGTAAGACATATCCTTGTGATATGCGCAACACTACCTACAAAGTATCCATGCCTAGAAAAATCTAATTTGAATATAACTAGTCTTCTAGCTCTAATTACCGGCATTAGAAAAATGGAGAATTAAGAAAACAAAATACCATGAAGAAGCAACCAGACATACATATGATATGTAAATATGTGTGTGTGTGTGTGTATGTGTGTGTATTTGGCAGTACTGGGGTTTAAACTCAGGGCCTCATGCTTGCTAGGCAGGCACTATACCACTTAAGCCACTCCTCCAGCCCCAAACAGACAATATTGATCAGTCTTCAGGAAACATTTCTCCAACAAATCAGTGATACCCCTAAAGTGATGAGGGGAAGGGAAGCCAAGCAGGAATGAAGAATGTTTGAGACAGAGACTCCAGAGCAAATACAAACATGTGGCCTTCAAAATATTTTTATTTTTGTGGCACTTGGAATTGAACTTAGGGCCTTATCTGCTCTACCACTTGAACTACTTCACCAGCCTGGTACTGGAGTTTGAACTCAGGGCTTCGCATTTGCTAGGCAGGTACTCCACTGCTTGAGCCAAGCTTCCAACCCATATATATATACAAAATAAGGCTGGGGATGTAGCTCTGTGGTAGAGTGTTTGTCTAGCATGTACAAGAAACTGGGTTTGATCTCCAGCACTGCAAAAAAACAAAAAACAAAACAAAAGTAAGGTTATTCTGTCATTAAATGGTCTAATAAGGCAAGATTTTATGAATATAAAGTTCTAATGTATAGATGTGATTCATTTAACTAATCTATCACTGTTGAAAATCTTGTTTTCACATTTTTAAAAACTATTTTAAATAACATTTTGGACTAAGGTAAAAAAGAGACTAATGAAGGGGATGAACCAACTTGGGGTATGGTATGAAACTCCCTGAATAACCGTCATAAACAAGCAAAAAAAAAAATTTTTTTTCAAATGAAGGATAGAAAGGTAAAACAAGTCCTGCCCAGGGATTAGTATCAGTGTGGGGGGGGGGGGGGGGGAGAAGGCATAAAGAAAAGGTGAAGGAGGGTGAATATGGGAGAAAATACTATGTATAAAAATGGGAGAAGTACATGTATAAAAATGGAACAATGAGACCTACTGAAATTGTTCTAACAAGTGGGGGAGAGAGATAAAGGAGAAAGAGAGGGAGAATCTAAGATATATTGTAAGCACTTTTATAAATGTCACAATGTACCCCTAGAACAATTAAAATATGCTAATAAAACTGAAAAAAAAACCCTGAGATAAAATGTACATATTACACATATGTATCTTTATATGAATCTGATTATTTCCTAATGATTGATTCCTCGAAGAGGAATCATAGTGGGAGTGCCAAGAGGTTTATGTTACTGCTTTATGAGGGTACCACAATTATGGGTAGATCCTTTCTTCTGGGTTAAATCTATTTCTCCAGAAAAGAGCTCTCTAATGTTGTCTTAGAACATACAGGCCAGGCTGCCAGGGTTCTGTGTGAGTGGGTCTAGGAGCCAGAGATATCATAGTTCAGCATGCTGACTCCAGAGAATAAACATTTAGTCTTCTGTAGGGTAGGAGGCATCTTTTTTCTTATACAGGCTTGTAACCAATCCTGTTTAGATCCACATGTATCCCTACTTTCTGCAATACTTGATGCCTCTAATTCCTGAGCATTTTTTATGCTCTGAAGCAAGAATCAACCTGTTTTTGGGTTCTCATTCTTGCCAACTTAGATTTCTGCCTCTAGTCTGAGTTTTTAACTCTTTACTGATATGTTAGAAGGACCACAGGAAGGAACTGTAGTAAATAAATATGGTTTACTAACTGTGTTTTCAGGTTGAAAACCATTTACACATTTATTGGCCACATGTGTAGGTGTGCATGAGACAGAAGAAGAGAAAAAGTGACAGTGAGGGGCAAATAATGCCCTTTGCTCAATTTTCTACTGGGGTGTAATTTCTACTTGTAAG